TATAACATAGTAGGATTTGAACCCACAATACACTCCTATTTCTACTCCAAATTATACCGCGGTTCAGGATTTTCACAATAGTAGTCAATAGAATTACGCATGTGGCACCAATGCATTTTACAACGCATTTATTATGATCCATTTGTCTCTCATCGTGAACAGTAAATATCCGATGGCCGTTAAATCAACATGAGCGTGCCGTCATTCGTTGCTGTACTAAACCCTTTTTTGATGTGTTAAAAACATTGTTGAAATTGTAAATTGAGATGGAAGCAAACCTAGATGTCTTGAAAGATATTATTTATAGGAAAGATATAATTGAAAGTTATAATTACGTTAGTTGTAACGACTACAGTGTTATTATAAGAAGCAAAAATCGCCATAGCGATAATAAAACAAATAGTGAGTGGTGTGACGACTGGATCCGCAATTTTAGTATTGGCACCACAACAAACTGGATAGTTAGATATACTTAGGTACCCATCACTCAAAAAATTTGAATACAAAAAAGTGTTAAGTGTCATCATAATGAATTCAACAAAGTTGCAGAATTTAAAAAATGTCCCACTCGAATAAGAAGTAAAGAATGCGGTGCCAAAATCGTATTTCTTTTCAAGAAAGTGAATCCAAATACTATAAAAAATGAGCTGCATTTAAAAGGCGGACACAACATCGTCATTACGGTAAGAGATAATAATTAATTAATTGATTATTTAAGTATCAGTGTATTAGATATGGACTATTTGTAAAAGCTTTTATTTATGTTGCAATGTATGTATGTACAAATGTACATACATATTAGTATGATTGTTCGGGTGGAATCTTGCAACTGAATTTTGAAGCAGTTATCCTCAACCGATTGAGCTGAAATTTAGCATATACGTTTGTTTTGGGTGACAATGCATAATTAACTGAGTTGAAGGTGAAAAAATTCAAAATGGCGGAAAACAAGATGGCTGCCATATCAACTTTTCTTCTGATTGAGCTGAAATTTTGCATACATGTTTGTTTTGGATGACAATGTATGGTTAACCAGGCTACTTGTATTTCCGATCTTTGTTTTCAATGAAACCGTTTAACTTAAAAAAAAATTTTTTCAATGTACTTATTTATATATAATTTTTCGCCTTTCAAAGTTTGTATAGTATTCAATCAACATCCAGCCTGTATACTTTTAAAAGGACTTTTTACAAAATCCTACCTTGGATCAAAATAAGGAAAAGTCTTTTACCGTTGAAACTGAAAAACAGTGAACTTAGCTAACTTTAGCTACATCGATCTAGTTTGGCTGGAAAAGCTTCTTGGAAGCTTGTGGTAGGATTTTGTAAAAAATACATTTTGGGACACCCTATATTAATTATTATTCAAGTTAATCTTAAATTTTAGATCACTTTTAAGCACAGTCATAAACTAAAAGTTGCCGAGACGTATAGTTACTTACGCATGAGTCAGCACACTAAAGAAATATTCATTAAATATTTTGATGAAGGAATGTCTCCTGCCTCAGCAAAAAATTACCATGAACTTATGTTAGAAAATGAAAATGATGATTCAAACATTTTTGAAGTATTAGCAAATGCGCAGTTGAACCCTACGGATCGTCAGATTTATCATGTATACAACCAGTGGAGGTAAGTTTAAGTCGGTTTGTTATCAAATAGTGTTTTAAACCAGTATCCCTATTATAGACGAATCAACTTTGGGGGAAGAGATGGACAGAGTATGTACAAAGTATTGCAAGAAAAAATAAAATTATATGAAGAGCTAGGAATGAAGATCATTACAATGGAAAATCCTCTGATTTTTATTATAGTAACGCCTATAATGCTCAGAACTCATAAACGCGATTTTTCTCATGAAATTGTCTTCGTTGATTCTAGTGGGTCATGTGACCAAAACAGTTCGTGTGTCACATTTCTGTTCACAGCCTCAAAAATTGGTGCATTACCTCTGGCTTGTATTTTGCATCCTGAGAAGACTGAAGCAAATTACACACTGGTTTTCAATATGTTAAAGAATGCTCTTGGACTAGATGGATTTGGAGGATTTGGAGGATTTGGATATCCTCTGGTTTTTATGACCGACCACTCAAAAGCCGAAAGAAATGCGTTAAACATTGTATTTGCAAATTCGACTGTTCTGTTATGTACCTTTCATTTATGTCAGGCGTTTTGGCGTTGGCTTTGGGACAATACGCATGTAATACTAAAAAAATATTATATGCTCATTCTGAGACAGAAATCAATCAAGCTCATGAAGAATTCTTCATGGATGAAGTAATTTTATCTTATGATAAGCTTCAAAGTTATATGCAGTCTTTATGGGATAGACAAGAGGAATGGATGTCTGTTTTAGACACAAAATTTTAACCAGGGGACATAGCACAAATAATTTAGAAGAGGCGTCGATACGTATATTTAAAGACATAGTTCTCCAAAGATGCAAAGCATTTAACACTTGTGCGTTGGTTGATTTTGTTTGCAACGTATTTGAGTCATACCATAGACGTCATTTACTACCATTTTCAAATTGTAGAAAAACAAAAAATAAAATTATATATAACCAATTTTGCGTTTAAGCTGAAAATCTCACTGTCAAGCAGTGTGATAATATCAGCTTTGCTGTCTCTTCTGATGTGTATATTTACACCGAGCATACAGACTCCGCCACTTGCGATTGTCCCTATGGTCAAGGAGGAAAGTTTTGTAAACATTTATGCGCCGTTGAAAATCAGTTTGACATTTTTTTAAAAACAGCTCCTCTTTTACCTTGTGATGATAAAGAAGATTTTGCACGAATTGGTCTAGGTGAAGATATACAAACTACCTTTTTTGAGGATATGATGTCATTAGATATGGTCGATGAAACAGTTACAACAGTAAGCGATAATAGCAATATAGGCAATGATATTACGCCACTTGCGATTGTCCCTATGGTCAAGGAGGGAAGTTTTGTAAACATTTATGCGCCGTTGAAAATCAGTTTGACATTCTTTTAAAAACAGCTCATCTTTTATTTTGTGATGATAAAAAAGATTTTGCACGAATTGCTCTAGGTGAAGATATACAAACTACCTATGAAACAGTTACAACAGTAAGCGATAATAGTAATATAGGCAATGATATTACTGCTGCAGATTTCTCTTCTTCGGCATTTGTATCAAGCAAAGAACCATCATCTGTTAATGATCTAAGTAGTGTTACTGATACTCCACTGAACCATCTCTCTCAAAATTTTGCAAAAGTTGTCAAAACTCTAAAGGGAAATGATTCCATAGAAACAGCTAATGCTATAAATAAAGTTAACATGGCTATGAATAGATTAAAAACAACTGGTGATGTTTTGAATGTTTTACATCAAATCAAAAAAGTTGAACGCGGCAGAATTATAGGTGTACAACCAACATTAACTAGTCGCAGAAAACAAAGAAGAGGGCTAACTGCAGGTTCAAAAAGAATTCAGGCTGGTAGGCCAACAAAATTCGAAGGCAGTATCGTTAGAAAACGGAAGTGTTTGAGAAATCTGGAAGTGAATATTAGTTTGAATCAAACTAACCAGAAATCGCATTAATTTTTATAAGCGGTATGTTTTGGAGAAACCATACGCGCGTTTTAAATGTACATATTATACTACGTTATAGAGAAGCACTCATCTGTATAATGGTATAGAATGTAAATAGGCGGGCGGGACTATTTACGTCGGCACTCTATGTATAGGTAACTTGGTGACTTGGTTTATAATTTTTTCATAAATAATTGATTCAATTGTCGTATTCACGGAGTTCAATTTCTTCCGTGGAGTAAAACTGGTAAAAGGGATACTTTTTTAAATAAAAAATCTATTTGTGCCCTTCTGAGAAGTATTATTGTTGTTGCAACGAACTGTGTGTAGGAGCGAGTTGTGAGCATATAACCCCTTTTCACACAAATATTGAACTTGCAGAATATTTTTACCTAGCTAATACACGTGTCGCAGTTTTTGTGAAACCCTATATAGTGAAAATCATAAAATGAAGTGTATTATTTGGTTTTCATATGGATTTTCATCAAGTATTGGCCAGTTCTATTCAATTATTATTACCCGATTAGTTGCGAGCTGTAGCTGGTTTCTCAAGCAGATTTCGTTTTGGCGTTAGAAAATAATGAAGTACGTATAGTCAATAGTTGTTGATTTTCGACGAATGTATTGAAATGGGGAATGTTCCTCAGTTTGGGTTATTATAGCAAATGAAAGTTTGAACAAAATAAAGTTGGGTTTAATTTTTGAGTTTTTCAAATTCACTCCGAAAAGTATTCAAATTGATATTTCAAATGTTGGGTTTTAATTTTCAAAAGGATTTGTTTCTAATTCACATATTGGCAACAGCGTCTATATCAAGTTGAAATAATGTATACGTACCTAAATATTCTATTTAAAAAAAAATATCTTTATGAATCAACAATTGAGGCAAAAAATGAATTATAGTTCAATACCACCTCCACAAGCTACGAAAACAACAGTTGTTTTGTTGTTTATTCATATAGAGTAAGATAGGTTAGGTGCACAAAATGTAATATGTCACAGAATCTCTCGGAACTCTGAACATAACTGAACAAAACAGCACCCCTCTGAAATATGTCATCTTTGTTTCTCTCATACAGGTAACAGATTCATTGTCCTTCATTAGAAACGAATCCCTTTAAATGTTGAATGCATTATTTCATTCCTCTTTGTCAAGTATTCAAATATTTTTTTTGTTTTAGAGCTCTTTTATGAAAACTACTTGATTTTCGTCAGGAGGAACATTCCCCATTGGCAACACTGATTACAACTGTACAAGCCTGCCACGTCAGCAATCGCATACTTGGTATATGGATGTATCAGTTCTGATTTAATTCGTTACCTAACTGGGAAGATCACCGCAGTTAGGTAACTAACTGGGGTTATCGCCCCAGTTAGGTCACAGACCAGTGCGCTAATAAACCCATTACACTATCGGTTTTTATGAAGAAGAAATCATGAAATTTCAATAATATATTTCAATAAGAATATTTATACTCGTGGAAGTTTTACATTTCTGAGGTGGAACTCTCATTTCATGTTCAGATAAAAAAATGATAGCTTCTAATTCCTGCTCCTTCAAACACACTTTGAATACATAAACGAATACAATAATTTCTACTGTCTGAGTTCCAACCAAAATTTTGAGCGATCTTTCAATTTACTGAGCATATATAATTCACTTCTATCTCCTCTATGGATTTATATTCACTGAATATCTTGAACTCTCTGATAATCGTTGCGATGATAATTTTCATGCTGAAAATAGCGTACTTCCATCCTGAAAGAAAATAAGCATTGCTATACTTTGAGCTTTGAGAGAGGTATAATGTGATACTCAAACAGACTCCGACATTTTCATATGAACGTGAGAGCTTTTATGTCTCTGGAGAAAATGTTATCTACCTCAATCTTTACTGCTGCATAGATCAACGAAGCCCAACAAATTCGGTATGAGATATAATGAACGGAGCACTGAATGAAAATAAAAGACTATAAGGCTTGCCATATCCTTTCATTACAATGCTACTCGTAAGACCTTTCCCAAAAATATAAAAGTGGATATCGTTGGTTATCTTTCAGAAACCTTCACCATCAAATCTATTAGTTTGAAGATTGTTGACAATGTTTCATGGTTTCATGTTCATTAGTTCGTACTTCCACTGTGTAATATAACAAAAAGTGATTTGAAATCCCCGAAAGAATCAATAAAATTGAAAAGATGAGCTGAAAAATAACAATTATATTAGGCAAAAAAATTGAAATTATAATGAAACACGTAAAGAAGCAAAGGGTACTTCTCGAGACACTAGGTCCTTGGAAGTTTAGCCATCTTGAATGGATATTGATTCCAAGGCCACCATGAGTCCCGAAAAGGAAGTCGTAGCATCTGAATAGATGACAGTCGATGACCTGACGGAGGAGGCACCTAAATGCAGCGAGGCTGCCTCCCCCTTGCGGGGGAGCAGATGGACCTCTAAAAGAATCCTCAAATCCAACAACTCATTGGCAAGAACGTTGGAAGAAAGGTGAAAATGAAACAATGCAACCTCCAACAAAAAAAGGCGGCAACGGCAACACTATGTCGCCACCTTGATGTATTGGGGGATGCAATAGCTTTGATCCAGGAGCCCTGGATTAAGAAGAATGAAGTAACTGGTTTCAGTAGCCTAACTGGTCAAATTTTCAGCTTACCAAGCAATCAGCAACCTAGGACTGCTGTTTACTTTCCTAGGAATTACAGAACTTATCCGATGGCAGAATTTAGCACCTCAGACGTCACTGCAGTTAAAGTGGAATATTCAGATGGAAAAAACGAATATACGGCATTGATACTCGCATAGAAATGGAGGTACTACTGAATCACTGCTTCAACCAGAGAGTGGAGCTTATAATGGGTTGTGACTCAAACTCTCACCACTTGAGCTGGGGCAGCATGGATATCAACGCCCGAAGTACCTGTATGAATTTATAATTAAGAAAGATTTAACAATCTTGAACAGAGGCACAGAGCCGACACTTTTCAACGCTCGTACTCAAACATTAATAGATATCACGCTGACGACAGCCAAAATATCAAACAAAATCCAGGACTCGCAAGTGTTGGACCATATTTCTATGTCAGACCACCGCTGGTTGTTCTATACGGTATGCCAGAATCTCAGGACCACTGTAAAATCCCGTGACCTAAAGAGGACAAGTCTCTACAATTGACTCTTGGAAGGAGCTCTGCGGGAAACAGAGGTCCTGACTCCTGGCAATAATGAAGAACTGAAAAAGTACACGGTAGGTATCCAAAACAAAATAGACATTGCCTACAAGGAATCCTGTCCATTGAGGATGGTTCAAACAGATGGCACAACCAACACACGGTGGTGCTTTGAACTGGAACACCCCAGGAAGACAGCGAGAAAGACTTTTCCAACAAGGCAAAACGTACAAGACTCGGAGAGGACTGGGGTGAATATTTTAAGCCAACCTCAGAGAGTTCGAAAAAGTCTGCAAACAAAAACAAAGAGAAGCCTGGAGAGCCTATTGTGAGGCAGTCGAAGACTTTCCACTAGCTTCTAGGCTACAGAAGGCACTCTCAAATGACCACCATTAGAGTATTGGCCTCCTGACGAGGAAAAATGGAGACAAAGCCGCCAACCTGCAAGAGAGTGCTGAGATTCTTATGGAAACTCACTTCCCAGGTTCTGTCTTTCTTGGAACGACGAACTGCATGGAAGTACCAACAACACCCCCACAATACGACTAGAAATCTGCTAGTGCAGTAATTGATGTCACCAGGACCTGACGATAAAAGACCAGCCCTACTTCAATGGGGATTGGATATTCTCATACCGCACCTGGTTGTGATATTTGTGATATTCACACAGAGGCTATGTTTGCAGTATATAAGAGATGAAGTACTAGTTCACAACCCACTTCATCCATATCAGCATGCATATACTCCGGGAAAGTCTACTGATTCGGCTCTTCACCATGTGGTTGGCAGAATCGAAAGATCATTAGACAACAAAGAAACCACCCTGGGTATATTCATTAATATCGAGGGAGCGTTTGATAAAACATAACAATCGAAACGTCGTGAAGTAATTTGCCTTAAAATCTTCCGATTTCAATTTTCACTCCTTGTTAATATTCAATTGTTGCTTCAATTTTAATTTATTGTGAATTGTTCAATTTTTAGTGGTTGCTTGTATTTTATTTCATTGTAATTTCAGTTTAATATAATTGTTATTTTCTAGTTAATCTATTCAATTTTATTGATTCTTTCACGGATTTCGAATCATTTTATATTATAGTAGACAATAGAAGTCCGAATTATTGGAAGGTCTCAAATTTATTAGTCCCTAGGGATTCAGACTTACTTCAACCTTCTTTTTCTATTCTACATCAACGCTGTCTAACTCCAATATTTTGTTCGGTTGATGGCAGTACAGTAGACTTATGTCAAATCATATGTTCACCGCCAACGAAAAGTTTTATGTTCCAACGAAAATCTTGGAAAATTGCAGGATGGAGTGAGAAAAATCTAGTAGATATCAATGTTTCTATAACTGCTCTATGAAAATCATGGAAGAATTATCGTCTTCCAGATTTCTAGTTGTAGAGCAGATATTTGTGTGGCAACCTGTGTATGAGTATTATGTGGATACCAAGCTTCCTATGAAATCGCATTCCTACGGCTGCAAGTATAATAAGCCATCCTGTCAATCTCACTCCTATTTTTATTATATTCAACAATATCCCATGGTTTATATTTGGCATCCACTTTTTTGTTCTCAACTGTAACTATTTTGCCAGACACTGAGTGTTTGACATCGAATGACGTGATTTTCAATTATATAATTTGAAGAAATCATAAGAAAATAAAATCGAGGAAGTATTTTTAAATAGTTACCAAAAAAATAAATATAAAATTCAGGTTATTTCATAACAGAAATATATATTATTAGCAATTTACTGGAGTTCATGTCCAGCGAAAGATCACCACCACACTGAGTGCTTGGCATTGAATGATGTGATTTTCAATTATTTAGTTTGAAGAAATCATAATAAAATGACGCTTCATTCTTCAACAAGCATTCAAAGCTACAACGATCCAAACTTCATAGTTGCTCATCCTATCTGTGTTGGAATTATGCGCTGGAAAACATTTGGTATTCACGGGTACTTACTCTTCAAGTCCTTGAATCGTAAGTCCTAAATATCTTCTTGCTCTCATGGTCGAAAGAAAGTACAACACCGATTTTTCGTCAGAATCGCAAAAGTGTCGCAGGTGGAGATAAAACACTCTTAGGGCCGCGTTATGTCGATGAATATAGGCTGAGACCGCATATGCTGGACATGCTAACAGCAAGTGCATCAGGATTTCAGGCGTCTCGCGACAGGCCCTGCTCATTTTGTCTGGAACTTCTAAACTCAAAACGCGACATCTTTAAACTGAGATGTTGAAAACACCCTTCTGTCAGGCCATCACGAGCCACACAGGTTTCAACTTCAGCCGACTCGACCTAAGGAAATCGTAGGTCCGGCTCTTTGATAAGACGAGCACGTCAATGTTGTTGAAGAAGATCCTATGCATTGGCCAATCTTTGTGTTGTCACGGAAGTGAAGAGATCTCTGTGACTTTTATATATTCCTTTTGATGGACGAGTTTCAATTCGGTGACACGCTCAAGCAGCTGCCTTGAGAGGAAATGCTCCAATTCCTGCACTCTCTTCTTCGTAGATCATGCAATTTTCTGCTTGATTTTCATTCTATTATAATTTATTTTCAAATTTTTTTTTGCATAATATTATTGTTATTTTCAGCTATTCTTTTCAATTTTGATTTTCATATGTTATTTCAGAGCTTTCAAATCATATCATATTAGACAATGAAAGTCCAAACTAATGAAATTTACATTGAACATTGTCAACCACCATCAAACAAACGGGGTAATTATGTTGTACAAGGCGGTGAAGCAGGTGATATCAACCACACCAATGTGATTGTTCAAAGTTATTCATTACAACAATGGTGTTGCATGGAATAAATGTTACATCTCAATAAAAAATTTGTATTCAGTATTCAAATGGAGTAGAGTATAAAGGTTGAAGCTGCTTGTTCACCTTTATTATGCAAAAAGTTTTCGATATATAGCCAATGGAAGTACTTATTATATTACAAATAATTATAGTCACATATATTGATGTATTGCAATTTTGTTAACTATCATATTTTCATATGAAAATGAAAAATATGATGCCTCAATTGAATAATGTTGAATTCAACATTAAGAGAATACAGAAAAAAACATTTCAGATTTTTGTGTCACAGTTATAGAAATATTTACCTATACAATTCCTGGGACCGTATGAAAAAGGAATGAAAGTGCATGGATGTCTCTTTGCTATTTCATCCGGTAAAAATCTGTCCGGATCAAACTTCAGAGGATTGGTCCAGTATTTTGGATTTCGATGTATGTAGTGAGCAGTAAAATAAACAGAACTGCCCTTTGGAAGAATAGCGTTCCCTGCGGAATGAAAAGTATGATGAGTGATATGAAATAGGCTGAGCTGATATGCGAGGAACACAATATTTCATTTCTATATATAACAATTTGTTCCAATCAAAAGACTTCAGGCACTGTAAACCACGTGAAGTTTTTTTATATGGATACGGATATTGATATCTAGCGTTTGCCGAATTTCATGCCTGAAAGTAACAAACTTTTATTTTTCAATTGGGATGAGTTTTCCATGAAATCAGGTAACCGATGGATCTGGTATCCAGGAAAGTTTTGTAGGGTTCTTTCAACAATCAAACGAGAGAGTGAAAATTATCGTCACTCGAAATATCACTTCATTCTCTAGAATGTTACTACTGGAAGTTCCACAATCTGTATTGCTTCTGAACAAACGGAGGTAACAAATCGACAAAGGGAAATAAGAATTATTTCAGACTCTCATATAAAGATCAATAATAACAATATATTTGTTTCTTTAATGAATGGAAATCTTGAAACAAGAAGAGAAATCAAGGTCTTCCAGAGTACAGAAAAATGAAGAGAGATGAAGAGAAATGGATATTCTGAAAGATTAAAACTTCAAAAAAATGGATGAATGAATATCTTAAGAAACAGGGAGGAAATTTCCTAGTGTGTATATCCATGTTTTCAGGAAAATCGATCGGAAATTGATCTGGTCTCAATTCCAAAATTCCTATGTGAATACTAAATTAATGACCCCAAATTGGAAAGAAGATGAAATAACCAAAGTTTATCAATATGACATAAAAATTGTAAAAATAACAGTAATGAAAAGCAATTCAAGCGACATTCTTCATATAACGCATTGACTTTTCAACTGCAAAAAATCTGGAAGTGAACTTTCAACTCCACCCCAACAAGAGAGTCCTCAGTGATCAGAATATTCTGTCTTATAAAAAAGAGTATATAGGTTCAATTCTATTTCTACACCTGCAGTATAGAAGCCCTGTTGTATTATTGATCATGAACTAGTTGAAATTGTCCATCGGCTAAGTATGAACCAACGCCAAAATTCAACGCCAAAGTATGAATCATTCGAAACCGTACAATGTTAGTTGAAATGGTCCAACGCCAAAGTATTTCCCAATCAAGATTTCAACTGGGATGAGAAACCACTGCGTATCATTTTGAATGGTGACCATACAAAATATTTTCTTCATAACTTCACTCGAACAAATCAAAGTGCGATAATTTTTGAAGCATTATGATTTCAAAATCAAAAGTTTCGAAAGTGTTTCGGAAGTGTGATGGTATTTGAAGAATCTCAACTCGTAATAGCAAAAACTCTTGCTCACAATTGGCACTTCACCAGTTCACCACATTTCTTACAATAATACTAATCTTCTTATTGTTCAATTATGTCTATGATTTGACACTTTTGCAAATGAATCTGTGATTTCGTCTTGCATTGTTCACATTTTTTCAAATCGATATTAATGATCTGCCACATAATCCTGCACCAAACATATATTATCCTGGCATACAAATAAAACATTTGACACTGAAATCAGGGTAACGTTCAGACCAAAACCTCTATTTGAATCAAAAGAAGTCTACAGTTTTTGACAACATAATCACAGTATGACATTTATACGCATAGATAGTATGAAGTGAAGCTCTTCTCAATAAAAAGTTTATTAATTTGGTGACTATTGTCTACGGTGGTTGCTATTATCATACAACATTCGAGTATGTTGATGAAACAGATTGATTTATTCACAAAGTTATTTTATCATGCAAGATCTTGTAGGCGCCCATGATGAATATTACTATGAAAGAATTGAGATAATTGACATTAAATTGTATTTTCGTTTTCAAATCTGGCAAAGTCAGATGTTATGTGAAAAATATCAACAGAGTTCAGTTTTATGACATTATTATTCCATACTGCATAGTCAATTGTGCTGGAACGTAATACTTCCATCCTTTGATAGTGTTTGATCTGATAACTCTCATCAGTACTGTTGCATAACCACTGTACTGTTTCAGTAGCGTTCGAAAATACTGCCAATATACGAAAATGTTTTGGAGGTGTTTCAAAAAATACAAGAATTTAAATGTTACCCAAGTTACACTCTAACGAATATTGAATAATCTCTAGCTTTTCGGTACTTTCACCTTTTTCACTAAATATTGATATTGATTCACTTGATAACAGAAATTGAATAATCAAAACTTTTCTGTTTCATTTCAAGATTTTGATTAATAATTTTCTGAAGATGACAACTTGGTTGGTGAAACGTGCGTCGTGAAAAGTATTCAGTTTCTGGTGATTGTTTTTGAATTGAGATCATTGAACTCATAATATGTACCTGTATTCAAATATAAAAATGAATATTCTGAAGAAAGATAAGTTTTTCTGGAAACAGGCTTCTTGGTTTTCTCCTTGTCAATCGTTAATTATGAGATGATGGAAACAAGATAATACCTACATAGATTTGTAGTGTTGGGTAAAAAATTAGTGCTTCCTCTCGTTATGTTATCCAAAACGAATTAAGAGAAGAGTCCAGTCTCAAAACTTTGAAGTACACTATTGAGATGGTAGCGTTTCAGTAAGTGACATTTTATATCAATTCTCTTTCATATATCATATTATGTTGCAATCCTATCGATGAAAAATTTCAATTTTATAACAAATGATGGTAGTACAAACTATAATGAAAATTATAATCTAGAACATAATCTTTAGAATTTAAGGACCCTTGTTGTTTGCACGAAAAAAAAAGATTTGTTGAATGAAATAAAATTCACTTCATTCAAAGAAATAAAAGTGTCATATATGCACGACAAAATATTTTGTTGATGCAAGTAAAAAGAATTCTTGACTCCTAACTATTTCTTCAAGCATATGTTCATTCTATCAAACAAATATTTCATTGAAACAATCACATCCATTAGTTATTTCAATTGAAAGAAGAATTGAATTTAAGTAATATTTTGTCTAATTGATAGCGAGAATGATTTAGAGTAATTCGAATATTCTATTGAACAAACAAAATTTAAAGATGGGTGAAATAGTGGATCTGATTGAAATAATCAAATGTATTTTCTATTTGAGTAAAAGTTATGTTGAAGAAACATAATATATCTGCAGGATGATGGAGCACTTTGCTTGTTTGGATAATGGGAAAAATTCCACTAAAATAATGATTTTGTTGAACAAATAATGAATAGTAATTGAACGAACAATGTTTTTACCTCATTGTGAGTATCTTTCTGATAGAGTAAAGCATTTCGAAAGTTCAAAATAATTATGAATAATGATGTACCAAATGAAATAAAGTTACAAATCAAAATCCTTCCCTCTTGTTTGAATTTGGTTATTGGATTTAATTAACCAAATACTATACTAATCTGAGTACCAGCATCTCGTTGGTAGTAATGGAATTTCAGATCAGTTCTACTGAAAATTACTTTTCTCTTCTCTAAAACTTCAATATGTTTTTTAAGTTTGTAGATAAAAAGCATTACGTATAGTTTTAGTATATTGAGAAAAGTACTTTTCGGCAGAATCCGAAATACAGAGTCAGTGATTGAATTTACATGAATCTCTAATCAAAATAGATCAAGTTATTGAATAATTGTTCTACAACCCGATTTCTCAATACAACAAATACACTTTGTATCATTTTCTGAACTGGATTATTGATCTACTTACGTATCACGATTTTTTAATCAGCTGCTGATGGGAGTCTTGCGGATAATATTTCATATTCAATACTGATTATGTAAATGCCATGGAAAATTGTTCAACGTGAGAATGAGTAAAATATAAATGAAAATCGAGAAATTTTAGTACCAAATTTATTCAAACAATTAATAAATTATAATAGACTTCTACAAATATTTAAATGAAAATATAAATTTTTCACAAATGGTTAATCCTAATATAAAATATTAACATATTTTATTATTTATTATTATTATTGGTGATATCTACTAAAAAACAATTAGAGTTGATTTCGAAACCTTTCACTGAAGTAATGATCTAAAATGAAAGAGAACAGAGATTAGTGATAGTCTACATTTTCGCAATAATACTATTGGATCAATTTCTACTAACTAGCTTAGATATTATCTCATAGAAATATAAAAATATAATTATTTTTTTTACAAATCCAATTTAACAAAAGGAGATACCCTTATTTTTTGATAATAGGAAAAAACAATGACGTACTTCATCACAGAAAAATTTGGTTAGAAATATGACTGTGATGACAAAATTTACCTAGGTCTCCAATCATAACTTTCAGGCCTTCAAATCTATTAAATTAAAGAATTCTAGCATTTAATTACTTAGGTATAGACCTGAATAATAATAAGTATCTACAGCAAATCGCAAAAATATATAGTTATTTGAGAAAAATGAATATGTTTTTAATTGTAATGGTATACATATTTATTGTTAAAGTTATGAATGAAAGACATACCTCTGTTATATATAATTCTTAATTTATTCCATCAATTGCTTCCTTGATTGAATATTTTTCTTTTGCCAATTGGGGGAGTCATTTCTTTCATTTCTTCATCAGTGAGCCTTTTAGCTATGTCTAAAGTTACATCATTTTCTGTCTGAAAAGTATGTGTTTTAAGTATATTATTAGGAGATAAATAATATATGTATTTTTTTACCTTTAANAGACGATATTTGTCGTGGAGATCTCAGCTACTGGCGAGACGAATATCTTCCGAAAAGAGGAGGAAAATCGAATAAAATATCGAGATTTTTTTTTCGAACTCCGTAGGCTCTAACCAGACCACTCTGTCAAGATGGTTGTTCAGATTATTGGAGTTCTTGGTGAAATGATGCCTTCTCTACTCTCGAATTTCATAAGCATGCCGGCTTGCCGCAGAAATCTTAGCCAGACAACTGCAGAAGGCTGTCGTTCTTGGCTCACTGCGCTTGCTCGGGGCAAGCGCAGTGAGCCAAGAACGGACTCAATGATCACTTATCTTACGGTGTACGAAGTGGTCGTTGTTAGATGA